GTCCGTTGCTGAGGGGCGGGACGGCCATTTTGCCTCGCTCCGTCCCGCCGCATGGCGCTGTGCCCCTGGGGGCTGAAGAGAAAAGGCTGTTTGTGGAAATAACTGCCTATGCTCTCCTTTCCCGGAGACGGCTGGGAAAGGGAAGGAGGAGAGAGGTGATTATTTAGGGTTAACAGTGGTCTGAGAAAGCAACGTGGGCCTATAAGCATGTCGTATTACCCTGAGGTAACTAGAGGGGGTGGATCAGCTTCCTGGCCGTTGCTGTTCTAGGAGAGGAGAAAGGCTTTTTGCATTCTTGAAATTATCCCAGTATTAGGTCAAATAAGGCATATCCTTTCTGGTCTTCTGTCATGCTTAGGTCATGTTTTCCAGTTTCTTACTGTAACTGTCCTATGTTTTTATATAAATGAAAAGTAGATGTGGCATCTCACAGTTACAGAATTTCCAGATACACATTTTTAAGAAAAAAGAAAATAGAGGTGAAAACTCTTATGATATACCAGCTTATCCTGCTGAGCAGTAGTTGTTCTTGTAAAACAACTAATTGCAACATCACAGCACCCCTAGTCTGGGTCTCTTGGGCTAACAGCTCTTCTTGATAGAAATTCAGGATTTCAAATGAGAATATAAGTAAATAGAAAAAAATCAATTTTGCTTTTATAATATGAAACTTCACATCTTTTGATCAAGCAGAAAAAGAATCAATGTAGATCACCATCACTTATAACTACCAAGAAAAGTTAATAAATGCACTTTGCGGCTCCCTTCCAGCACAGCTTGCTCTCTCCTAGCATTGCTCCTTTAGTTTGCTCTGGCATCGCCTTTCCCTTTCATCCCACCCCACATGGCTTCCTCCAGGCTCTTGCCTTCCTCACGTCTCATAGCACCTTCCCTTTGCAAGACCAGATCCAACCCCAACACGCTTTGCTGTGCCGCCTCAGGTGCTTTCTTTGCACTGCCCCAGCCCTCCCAAAGAAAAACCCTTAACCAGTTTGAGGAAATAACCGTTCTGGCTCAGCATGAATTTGATTATCATGAGGAAAACTGATGACTGAGAGTCTATTTGCAGAAATGTAACTTAAGTAAAAATGGCTTTTGAGCTAATATCAAAAGCATTGTTTTAGCATTGCACTTTGAGTTTTCTGCCTAGATCAAGCATCGGCTTGTACAGACTTGCCTTTTAAATCAGAATTCCAGGCCCCCGTAGGTAACAAAGCAATTAACTTTATTCACATGACCATTCCAAGCAACGAGGGAATGTTATTAATGATTTAACTCGCGCCCTGGGAGGCACGAGGCTTCGGGACGTGACCGCGGCCAAGAGCCCGCGACGCCCCGTGCCGGGGGCGCGGCCCAACGTCTCCCGCGCCGCGGCCG